TATTGGTTTGGTATCAGACAGATCTGGATATAAATCCTAAATCCTCTACCACTCATTGACTTTGTGACCAGTAGTAAATTACTTATAGCCTTTCATGACCCATGGAACGTATATTGCCCACCAGTGTTTTCAGTCTCTCAGGATCTTGGGAAGCTTCTATTTCAGTTGTAGCATGTGCTGCCACGAGGTGAGGACCTGTATAAACCAAAAAAACCAAACTCACTGCCATTGAGTCAAATCCGACTCTGAGGACTCCACTTTGGGTTTCTGAGGTGGTATCACTATGGAAGTAGATTGCCCAATCTTCCTTCTGAGGAGTGATTGGTGGGTTTGAACCGCCAACCTCCTGGTTAGCAGTCAAATGCCTTAGGCACTATGTGAATTAAAGAAATGGGCTTCATACCACCATTTTTACCACCAGAGTCACTTGGGATGTATATGTCCTACATAATTATATCAAAATCCATATTACCTCAAAATTTTCTTTCTTTTATTTCAACATGCCTTCCATTATTGAAAACGCATGGTATCAACAAAAATTTCTAAGTAGAAAATAATTTGGTCGTGAAACAGTTAATCTCTATAACTCTTCTTATTTGTAAAATGGGGCTACTTGCTGAAAGTGAAGAAGACTTGAAGCACTTACTAATGAAGATTAAAGATTATAGTCTATAGTATGGATTACACCTCAGCATAAGAAAATGAAAATCCTCACAACTGGACCAATAAGCAGCATCATGGTAAATGGAGAAAAGATTGAAGTTGTCAAAGATTTCATATTACTTGGTTCCACAGTCTGCACCAATGGAAACAGCAGTCAAGACATCAAAAGATGTACTGCATTGGACAAATCTGTTGCAAAAGACCTCTTTCAAGTGCTGAGGAGCAAAAATATGTCCTTGAAGACTAAGGTGCTCCTAACCCATGCCGTGATATTTTCAGTTGCCTCATATGCATATGAAAGCTGGACAATGCATAAGGAAGACTGAAGAAGACTTGATGCTTTTGAGTTGTGGTGTTGGTGAAGAATATTGAAAGTACCATGGACTGCCAAAAGAACTAACAAATCTGTCCTGGAAGAAGTGCAGCTGGAATGCTCCTTGGAAGTGAGAATGGCCAGAGTTTGTCTTACCTACTTTGGTCATGTCAGAAGGGACCATTCTCTGGAGAAGGATATTATACTTGGAGAAATGGTACATCAGTGAACACAGGGAAGATCCTTCATGAGATGGATTGACACAGTGGCTGCAACGATCAGCCCAGGGACTGTGAGGCTGGCGAAGCACCAGGCAATGTTTCATCTGTTGTACATTGACAGCACCTAACAACAACAAATGCCATCTCACATACTTTGATTTGGTTAGTGGGAAGATGAAGGGTAGAAGTACTGTATTGTAGGACAGTGCCTGGCACAACATATACTTAATAAACTAGAATAATAGTGGTAGCAGTTATGGTATATTTCTACTTCCTGTATCTTACTGTTTTCCCAGTTGAGATGTAAATTTGTTGGAAAATTAACTTTAAAATAAAGCATTTAATAAATATTTGGTGATTGATAAATGTTGTCATGCTTCAGAGGCTCTTCTGCATACCTGTTACTCATTTGGTAAATAATACCACCTAGGTACACTCAGTGACTGCTAATCAGAAAGCTGGCG